GCAATGACCTCTGCTAATTCCCTCAGCACTCTGGGGTGGAGATCGTCAGGACCTGCTCATTTAAATACATCCAGTCCCTCCAGAAGTTCCCTGACTAGGTCCTCACTGACCCTAGGTCTGGGTGCGCTTCCCCTGGGTCCTATGGGGGTCCCGGTGGGTGGGGGGTGACCCAGTCACTGCTCAGAAAAATGGAGGCAAAGAAATTGTTAAATAGGTTAGCTTTGCTGTCTGGTGCAACCACCAGATTTCCTAGCGTGTCCTGCAGAGGCCCCATGTTACCCAGTACCTTCTTTTTACCCCCTATGTATTTAAAAAAAGGACTTCTTGTTGTCCTTGATCCAGGTAGCTAGTCCCAGTTCCATCTCCACCTTGGCCTTCCTGACTGCTCCCCTACAGCCCTGAGCAACCGAGGTATAGTCCTCCCTGGTCATGGCCCCACCCTTCCATTGGGTGTACGCCTCCTTTTTAGCTAGGAGATGTTCCCGTATGCTTTTGGTGAGCCATGGCGGCTTTTGCACCCTCTTGCCCCCTTTGATCCACGTTGGGATTACCTCCCTTTGGGCTTGGAGGATCGTCTCCTTAAGAAACGATCACTCCTATTAGACACCCGACTCCCCTCCCCTCCAGGACCTCAGTGCCTCCCCAACTATTCTCCTTACCTCATTGAAATCTGCCCTCCTGAAGTCCAGGGCTGCTGCCTTGCTGCAGGCCTTTGCCACCTTGTGCTGGATGGTGAATTCCAGCAGGCGATGATCACTGTCGCCCAGGTGGTCGAGCACCCGCAGACCCCTCACCAGGTTGTCACCCATGGCCAGTACCAGATCCAACAAGGCATCTTTCCCTGGTGGGGCTGTGCACCCTCCCCGAGTGCCACTCCAACCCCTTCCCCTGTCCAATCTGTTCTGTGTTCTGCTCTGTGCCCAATGCTCTCGGACCAATCTGTTGCTGTGCTTTATGTTCCCTGTCCTGTACTCTCTGTCTGATCTGTTGCTGTGTCCCCCACTCCATTCCTGACCTGCCATGTGCCACACGCACAAGGTTGCCCATGCCACTTGTGGTACCTGTGCCTCAGGTTGACCACCCCTAACCCAAATGTATTCTCCAGTTACCTCCAGAATGAGTTAAATGTGCTTTTATGAGATTTAAGAGCAGATTACCTGTTGTTAGTTTCAACTGCTTATTGTTAACTGGAGTGGAAAAAAATCTCTAGACATGGGAAGTGTATGATGTCCAGAGATTTACTAGATTTGTTCTGGGTTTTGAACATGACTGCTACACAGTTCAGAAGGGCCTGAAATGTCTTTAAAATCATTTGAAAGGGTGTAAATGAATGGTGCTACTACCTCATCTAGTGAGAAATAGGACACTACCACAGGGACAGATCAGGACTCTTCCAATTACAGATGTTGTTCCTCATTTTCCTGTTCTTCCTGTTTGTACCAGCCACCATATTTAAGCAATTCTACAAAGTTCTGTAAGAAAGGAGCCAATTCCTGTAAGAATCCATTGTGGTCAAGACTGTAAGAGGCTAGAGACATGGAGTGGATCTCATGTTGTGCACTCTCTACGACATCCCAAAGGTCTACGGCTCGTGACAGAACCTAGATTCCTAGGGACACAGGAACAGGAAATGTGTGACTGTATTGAGGATACCCCCCTATTTGTACTTAGAAGAGGAAGAAAAACAAGTTCTGTTTGTAATGGTGAGGTTACCCTAACCAAATTGTTGAGATAAACGTGAGTCTGCCCCACCATGAGAGCTAATGGACTGGCAATGAACTGGGACTCAGAGCTAAAGAATGGGCTGGTACTGTAATAGTATCAGACTATTTCAGTCAATACTGAAACAGAAGACTATCTTACAGCTGGAGATACCAATGGTGAGTCACTGCAAAATCCCTCAGTACCAAAAATAATTTCAGTGCTAAGAACACTGGTGCCAGAAACATCTCTACCAGATTAGCATCACAGTCAAGGATACTGGGCGCATCAGCATCAGACACCTTGTCAGTACTAAGCGTATGGCATGGCTTAAGTGTGGACCACTGCCTGAGACTAGATCAGACATGTTTGTTGACCGAGTTCTGTCAGGATATAAAAGGAACCCAATTTGAATTACCACATGGCTAACTAGTCTAAAGCTCATAATGCAAAAGCAAAAACAGTATTTTATTCCTGGAATTTTTCCTTAAGTATCTTAGCATTGAAATGTGGTGCAACTTATAAAAAGGGCAAACCCTTCTCTTTCCTCTGAAAGTGTTCTACATGGAGAACTTCCACACTACTGTATAGAGCAGGGTGAGCAAGGAGAAGTTCTCTCTGAATTATTAGTTTGTTATCTACTATTCTTTCTGCACAGAAGGAAAGAAATAACTATTCAGGCCAGTGAGGTCCTTCAAATTCCATGTTCTTCTTGCCTCAAGTGCATGTTCTCAGATTAGGTTCAAGGGACAGAGTTCCCTTAAGAAAGAATTTAAAGATGTTCTTAAAGCTTTTCTTTATTTTGTGTTCCTCCTTCTATTTTATAGGAACTCTTCATTTACAGTACTGTAATCCAGCTTTTCATCAATTTGTGGGGCTGTTTTAGTGTGACATCACAAAAATACAAAACATTCCATACAAAACATTGGAAGCTCTTAGCATTCCAATGAGCACAAGTATTTTAGTCATATCTGCATGCTACATTCATATTGACAATGCTAACAACTAAGAAACAACATACCTCTTGTCCTGAAGACTTTTAATCAACTCCTTACATTTTTTCACTTTTTCTTTACATTCTGTAACAATTCGTTCTTTCTCCTTTACAGATTCCTTGCATTTCTTCATTCTGTCTAGTTTTGAGAAACTCTGTGTCAAGGCAACATGCTGAGCGCTGAACTCCTGAACAAATGAATACTCTGATTCTTTTTGTTTCTTTTTTTCTAGAAACTGAGCATGCCCCTCCCTAACATCTTCAATATATTTTGATCTTGTCACTTCACGCTGTTGTAAAGCTTCCTGAATTCTTATATCATCTTCTTTGTACCTTATTTGAGCACCATGTTTTTTCTCCCTAAGAAATCCTTCAGCATTGTGCTTAACTTTGTCTTTAGCATTCTTCATCTGCATAACCCTAAGTTCTTTTCTAGTTTGGATGTCATGTTGCTTACTCTCCTTATAAAATTTATCGATATCATATAGTGGTCCAAGCATTCCAGATCCATACATTTTAGCAAAAATCCTTTTCTCTATCCTGATTGGGCAATGCAGAGCTTTACTCTGGCAATTAGGATGAATACCAGAATGAAATCCATGTACAGCATGCCAAATTTCTTCTCCTTTCTTTTGAAATAATGGAAGTTTATCCCTCACTGAATAAAAATTTGCTCTACCTACTGAGAGCTTATTTTCTACCTGCTCTTCCATATTTGGTTTCTCCATGTCCAAGGAACCTACAAAATAAAGAATAAAATATTAAAGCTAGGATGTAATTTAATTAAAACTATTATTGTTCTTAATATTTCAGTATTTTATTAGAATTCAATGTCTGCTGATAAGAATGCTGTACTGAAGTCTTATTAGATTGAATTAAACACCATAATTCTTTGAAATTGGACTAAAACATTCTTGTCTAACTAATATCTACCAGAGTTTGTTTATTTATCATACTTTAAGGTAAAAAAATGCCTTGGAATAAAAGCCTAATAAGAACATTTTATTGAAGTCAAAATCGCCATGTAAAAGTTTTTAAAAGTATTTAATAAACTACTATTCTTTTAGCCCTAATCCAGCTCCCAGTGAAGTTGATAGAAGTGTATCAATCAGCTTGAGAAGTTCTTGGATCAGAAAAGTACTCTACTACCCAGCAAAATACCAGTGGTATAAACCAGGGCAGCCACCCCAGGTGCTAACTTGGGGTAGTAGGAAGCAGTGCCATTGCAGCTTCATGATCATGCTAGCAGCCACAATCAGAAGTTGTCACTGCTTGTGTGAAAACAGCTAACCTTAGTGCCCAGTTGTGTCATTACACCCAATCTAAATACAAATAAAATCTTTTCTGAAAGCTTCAAAAGTTCTTATATTTGTTGCTTTTTTTTTTTTTTTTAGAGACAGACTTTTAATTGACATTTTAAAATTGCAGCATAAAAATGTAACTTCTTAAGAATACGATTATAAACAACTCCAGTCCATAATCACATTTTAAATATATCCCTTGCCTGCATGGTTTAACTATATTTATTTCACTGTATCTCTTTAAAATTAAATGTCAGCGTCTTGTGCAAGTTCCTCTATATTCAGGTCCACAACAGATTCTTTCTCCCTATTCAATTCTTAGCATAATGCTTTTCAAACTATTGTTATATGGTTTTATTTATGGGGAACTGTTTACAGCATAGGCATATGCAAGGCTATGAATTATTTTTGCAAAGGATGAAATGCAAAATTAAGCTGTTTTGTCTGTTTATCACAAAAGCCTTCTATTTCAAGCCTACTACAAAGCCATAAATATTCTTTGTATTGCAAAGCATGATAAAAGAAGATTCAAACAACCGCAGCATGCAAAAAAAATGACAATAACTGTTTCTCATAACTTGCGAATGCTTTTTGCTCTTGCTGTTTTGTACTTTCTACGGATATCACTTTGGAGGTGGTATGAATAATTCTTCAGGAGCAGGGTCAAAAACAAATTAATAGTCAAAAGTGTCGCTGTGTTAAAAGGAAGTGATTTGCCTTGTGCCAGGTCACAAATAAAGACAGATGTGGCCTGGTGCCAAATTGACAGCAGTTTTTACTTAATAACTTATTGAGTCAAATTAGCTGAATTAATGGAACAGACATGGTCCTTGTTGAAATTCAGTCTGATCCAAAATGCTTTGCTGAACTGCCATCACAGACTTCAGCAAGAATCTTTAACATGTCTTGATCTGTGTTTTTATTCAGTTGGAAACCATCTGTATGCACTAGTCTGACCATCTGTATGCACTAGTCAGCCAGGTCTGACCGTTCGCGTAGGTTCCTAGCTGAAATACAAGACCTCCACCTTATCCAGGAGGTACACAGCCCCACTGGGGCAATGCCTTGCTGGACCTGGTCTTGGCCACTGGGGATGACCTGGTGAGGGGACTGCATGTCCTTGACCACCTGGGTGACAGTGATCATCGCCTGCTGGAATTCACCATCCAGCGCAGGGTGTTGAGGGCTTATACCAAGACTAAAGCCCTTGACTTCAGAAGGACCAACTTCAACGAACTTAGGAGATAAGTGGGGGAAGCACTGAGGGCCCAAAAGTTAGAGGAGATGGGAATCCATGAGGGATGGTCGTACCTTAAAGGGATAATCCTCCAGGCTCACAGTGTGACAATCCCCGAGAGAAAGAAGGGGGGTAAAAGTGCTCTGAAGTCCCCATGGCTCAGCAAAGGCATTTGAGAATGCCTGAGGGCCAAAAAGGAGGTGTACACCCGGTGGAAGAGAGGGGCTATCACCAAGGAGAAATACTCTTCCTTGGCCCGTGAGTGTAGGAGGACCATTAGGAAGGCCAACGCGGGGGTGGAACTCAGGCTAGTGACCAGGATTAAGGACAACAAAAAGTCCTTCTTCAAATACATTGGGAGTAAGAAGCGGGCACTGGGTAACGTAGGGCCCCTGTTAGACTCAAATGGTAATCTTGTGGCTACGCCAGACAAGAAAGCCGAAATCTTTCACAAGTTCTTTGCCTCTGTTTTCTCGGACAGGAAACAGGACAGCTCTCCCACCACAGGTAGGGGCAATCTTGGGGATAGCACTGCCAGGCCTCAGGTCTACGCAGAAGTAGTTAGGGATCTTCTGGAAGGGCTGGATGTTTTCAAATCTGCGGGCCCTGATGCCCTCCACCCACGGGTGTTGAGGGAGCTGGCGGGGGTCATTGCTGTGCCCCAGTCCAGTTGTATAAGTGGTCTTGGTCCACGGGCCAGGTGCCCAGAGACTGGAAACTAGCTAATGTGGTCCCCATCTATAAGAAAGGGAGGAAGGAGGACCCGGGAAACTATAGGCCCATAAGCCTCACATCGGTCTTGGGGAAAATCCTTGAAAAAATCATTAAAGGAGCACATTTGTGAGAGGCCAGCAAGGGAGATCATGCCCAAGGGAATAACTAAGAGTGATACATTTTGCAGTATAATGAGGCAAAAGATTCCACTTTAGTTGTTCACCAGTAACCACTGCTTGGGTAACAACTTGGAAGAACAAAAAATTCACATTAAGTTTTAGGATCTCGACTACTTGGTAGAATACAATTTTGCAGAAAGCTGTTACAGAAATGCCTACAGTCAGATGGGTGGCAAATTGGCTAGATGGTTGCACCCAGAGAGTGGTGGTGGACGTGTCATCCTCGACCTGGAGGGATGTGAACAGTGGGGTCCCCCAGGGTACAGTCCTAGGGCCTACACTGTTCAACATCTTCATCAGTGACTTGGACGAGGGGGTGGAAAACACGTTGTCCAAGTTTGCCGATGACATCCAGATGTGGGGAGAGGTAGGCACACTTGAAGGGAGAGAGAGGCAGCAATTAGACTTAGACAGACTACAGAAGTGGGCAGATGGTAATAAGATGAGGTTCAATGTAGATAAATGCAGGGTGCTACACCTGGGAAGAAGGAATCCACAGCATACACACAAGCTGGGGAGCTCCCCACTTGTGAGCACAGAGATGGAAAGGGATCTTGGAGTCATTATTGACTCCAAGATGAACATGAGCTGCCAATGCCAGACTGCAGCCAGCAAAGCCAACTGCACCTTGTTGTGCATCCAAAGATGCATCTCAAGCCGGTCCAGAGAGGTGATACTGCCCCTCTATGTGACACTGCTCTGGCCTCAACTGGAGTACTGCATTCAGTTCTGGGCACTGCACTTTAAGAAGGAGGGTTCAGAGGAGGGCCACCCGCTTGGTTGGAGGGCAAAAGGGCAGGCCCTATAAGGAGAGGCTGAGGGACCTGAACCTGTTCAGCATCAGCAAGCGGAGGCTGAGGGGGGATTTGGTGGCTGCCTACAAACTCGTTAGGGGAGATCAGCAGCAAATAGGAAGAGCCCTATTCTCCCGAGCAGCACCTGGGGTGACAAGGAACAACGGCCAGAAGCTGCTGGAGAATAGGTTCAGGTTAGAGATTAGGAGGCACTATTTCACTGTCAGGGTAGCTAGGATCTGGAATCAACTTCCTATGGAAGTGGTCCTTGCTCCTACCTTGGGTAAATTCAAAAAGAGTTTGGATGAACACCTGTCTGGGGCCATGTGATCCTAGCGTGTGCTCCAACCAGTGGCAGGGGGGTTAGACTAGATGATCTATTCGGGCCCCTTCTGACCCCTATCTACTATGAAACTAGTGCACCAAATGAAGCCAGCTATGTATGTCAGGGCAATAGCCAACAGTGAACTACACTTAGTTTTAATAGGGGTGGTAGTACCGCTGCAAATTGCAAGGCCCTGCTTTCCACATACTAGTAGGTTTAAATGTGTATGCCTTCTCCTACCATAGCCCATGCATTCAAGAGGTGATGTCACTTGATCCTGCTCCCCCCCTGGAATAATGCTTTACCTGATAGACCACTACCTGGCTAGTAAAACAAAAAAGCCTAAAAGTTCTGCAACTGGCAAAACAGAAAACACATTTATAAGGCAAACCATTCATTAAGGCAGAACATTCAACAAGAAGTTCCTCCTGACCTCACAGACAATCAGATCTAATTTCAAATGCCCTTGAGAGGAATGCTTCACAGAACAAGAAAATGAGACAGTAAGGGCATTTATACACACATTTGTCTGCTCCAACTTGATTAATCGAGTCTACTCTGCATGTGAGCTGAGGTGCCCAGTGCTGCATCATGTGCATTTGTATCAATGGTGAAATGCGCATCAGCGTTGAGAAAATGGCGGCAGTGCACTTTTGAACTAAAACACCTTCACCACAGCATCAGGTGCTTTTAAAAGCACCCCACACTGCACTGCAAGCATGGGGTCACCCTAAGTCACCAAGGAAGAGCAAAAAATGCCCTAAGTCACCAAGGAAGAGCAAAAAACCCCAGAATTTTAAAGAGAAGGAATCAAATAAAAATGAAGTAAAAACACAGAAGAGTATTCAATAGTTGGGAAAGTGGATAAGGAAAATAAAATGGGATTAATATATAAAAGCTGCAGAGAATCTGCCATGCTTGTTAGTGCCCTTTGCATAAACAAGCAGAGAGAACCCCAGCTAATCACACTCGTACAAACAGTTGACAATCTAGGTTACATGAAAGTTTATTATCAATCAGGATTACAATACTGAGACTGGGAAGAGTCTGCTTATGACATGATTTCCAACCCTCCCACCCTCTGAAAGGGTGGCTGCCTTAAAAACAAACCCCAGCTAGGGGCTGCAGCATATATGTTATTGAAGTGTTGTGCAAGACTAGCACAATTCTTCCCAAGCCATCCATAGGGCAGTATTATGTCACATACTTCCCACAGGGTCTAGTGACTACATACTGCAATGCAGCTCCAAACGATTGTGCAATATATACAGAATACTTTTATTCTTTTTTTCAGACATGGAATTTAATAAGCATTCTCCAAAATCCTTTACACATGATTTCGAATTGCATAAGTGCATCACTGATCAAAGTGAGTTGTTTTACGAAACCAAGGAAGATTAATTACAAAAACTCACAATATAGCTTTTTGAATAAGATAAAACCTCCTCTAAAATACCTCAGCATAATGAGAAAGAAGAAAGATATATTACTCCTACAGTGACAACTAAACAAACTGCAACACTATGTGCAGTCCACTTTTTCTGTAGGCAGATAAATATGCATAATAGATGATATTCTCATTAACAACATAGTGGTGCTATACTTCAGATTAACAATGCTGTACTATGACACAAATTATCTTCATATTATGAATATAAAAATATTCTGAAATGTCTCTTGTGAAGGGCGTGGTCTGATGAAAAACAGACATTCACAGACTGTAAGGCCAGAAGGGACCTCTGAAGATCATCAGGTCCAGCCCCCTGCACCAAGCAGGAAAGATAGTGTCTACGCAATTACTACTTAATTTTTTATGAACTTCTAAAATGCTACCAATAGGAATGTTTTACAAATTTGCTGAAGCAATGTTAAGGATCACACTGACAGTAGTACAAACTGGAAATGTGACATTATCTCCATAATTTATGTTGTACTGTTTGCATGCTGTAGTACATAAAACGGTACATTAGCTCATATACTCCTCTCAGATCTCTATACTTACCATTGGTGCAGAGTACATGGGGGCTTGAGGACTCTGGCCCACCTCAGAAAGAGGGCTGTTGGGCCCAAACCTGAGGAAATTACAAACCAAGCAGCAATGGAGAGCAGCTCCTTCAGCTCCTTCTAGGTAAGTCTATGGGGGCAGGGGGCACAGGTGACACACTGGAGCAGTGAGGGGAGGCATAGACAAAGCATTGAGGGGGATGGGGACACAGGTAACATGCTAGGGGGGGCAGGATAGCACAGGCAACATAGTGGAGAGGGGCAAGGGGGCCAAGGTGATGCAGCCAGGGGGGCATGCGCCCCCTGATTTTTCTGCACCCACAGTGGGGTGTGGGGCAAAGGGATGCAGCCAGGCAGGAGCTGCCTCTGCAGCCCAGTGGGCAGGACCCGGTGCAGGAGACAGTGCCATGCCACTATGGCTGACAAGTTGAGGTGCCCCCTGCCTGCCTGGCTACAGCTGGGGCACAACTCTGCACCAACATTGCTGCTGTGCCTCACCTTGGTGGCCATGGAGGCATGGCACTCACTCCTATGCTGGGTTCTGTCCACTGGGCTGTGGAGGCATCTTATGCCCAGAGCTGTTCTGGCTTGGCTACAGCCCTGTGCCCCATGCCCTGCTGTGAGCACAGGAATCTCAGGGGATTCATGCCTGGCACATCACTCATGCCCTCTACTACAGACAAAGTAGCCAGAAGCATCAAGTGATTTATTAGCCTTTTCCCTTTTTTCTTTTTTTTCGAGTTAATAACTCAATCTTATTTTTACACAGGAACTGAATTTACCATATGGCTGTAGCCACAAGAGGGATTACTTAGCTGTTTACAGCTCAAATCCATTCCTTTCTATGCATTCCAGGCACATCTACTTTGCTTACTGATTCTAGTTTTAGAACCGTAGGAACTGCAGAGTCAATATGCAATAGTCGCACAGGAACAACAATTCTGGCAGGTCTAAAAGCAGGCAGCCTCATGGGAGCTCAGAGCAGCCTCCTGGGAGGAAGATCTGGGTCTGGACTGTGCCCACAGAATGAGAAAATGGTGGGATGTGCTTGAACCCCTCAGTTCTGGTACATGCTCCCATAGGACAGTAGACAAGCTCTAAAATGTTCATATCGACTTGCAGTCAACTTGAGGTGTCTTATGGTCAGTATTCATAGTTCCACTACAGCATTCATAATGGAAGTACCTACGTGAACAACCTTGATCTGGCCCTACAGATCTACAATGCTTTTGAGACTTTGTCCAGTAAGATGACATTCTTTATTCTGCTTTCCCAAGTGATCATAACTCATCATAACTCATCCTGGAGACTGGAAGGAGTGGAGCCAGGGGAAAGGCTCCCTGTCTTTTTGAGATTGGGGTCACTCTGGTCTTGTGAAGATGGTACAGGGGTTGACTGCTCCCCTCATCCCATAGACTAGGAGGTGAGGGGAGCAGCAGCCATGGCTCCATCTCTTACCAAAAATGGAAAGTCCTTGGTCTCAGGAACTCCTGCTAGCTTTCCCTTGCCACCCCTGCCACCCTCGTGAGCAGCAGGGTGGACACATAAAAGCCAGCAGGTGGGACAAGGGCTCCAAGCAAGTCTTCTTGACCCAGGTTCCCTGCACTCTTCCAGGTCAGCCTGGAGAAGTGCAAGAAGCAGGGACTATTCTGTTGGGAGTGAACTTGGAAGGCTCCCATCATGGGATAATGCCCTCCTGCTGTCAATCAGCCAATAGGCAGATTGGAGGCAGGACGCAGTTTCCCAAACTATATGTAGGAGCTGCTGCTTTTCAGCACCTGCCAAGTGCTAGACAGCCTGCCACCTTCCCAGGCAGTAAAGCAGGCAGTAAAGCAGGCAATTAATGGGTTCCCATAAGGGTGAGAGAGGCCTAGGGAGCAGCCCACTTGGGCTGGAGGAACATCCGTATGGTGCATCTCCCAGGTTATTTTTTGTATCAGAAGAAATTCCTTCCAGTAGAAATGAATGTCTGTATGCAGCCTAAGGTAGTTTGCCAGAGAACTATCCATGAGCCTAATAAGGATGTGAAAAGCCCTGGGTTTTTACATATGGGAGATTAGTCTAAGGGATGCTCTCTCTGCAGTCCCCTATTCTGTTGCTTTAAAACTTGAAGGTCTCCTTCTCCTTATCTTTGTTGTTTCCTAAGCTTCCACAAACAAAGTATCTTTGTTTCTGGGAAATCCATGCATCCATCTCATTTTTCTTACTGACAGTGTATGTAGTCCTAACTCAGCAGAACTCCTAGAGTCAAACTTGAAACTTTGCACATAGTGTGCTCTGGAATATTCCTCTCAAGGAAAGCACACTTTGAATAGCCAGTTATCAGGATCTTGAAGGTACAGGTGCAATGTTGTAAGTAATGAAAATATTACCAAAGATATAAATACTCTGGGATCACCAAAGAGAAAGGAAGGAATCAGAATCCTTAGGGACTTGAGGAACAGTACTAGCCATTTTTTTTTGTTAAACCTGCTAATGTCAATGCATGTATAGTTTTACTTTAAGTTTATAATATATTCTGTTTTGTTTAATTTGGCAGTGCTCTTTCCCATACTCATGGCTAGAATCATTTATTTATGAAAAGCCTAGGACAAACATAACAGCCTCTCCCTTCATTCTTCTTTATGCCAGCATGTGAGTACATAAGGCAAAGAGGCTCACTCCCTTTGGTTCCAGTGTCTGACTCCCATCTTGGCCCAGAGCAGCTCTTATAGTGGAAGTCTAGTTTTGCCTTTCTAACCCTGGCTATAGGAAGCATGCACATTTGCTCTCTGGGGATGGTACCTGGTCAGCACCAGGAGTCACAAAAAGTTTGAGCAAACTCAGTGACTAAAATCTTTGAAGATTTTAATAATTACAGTTTCTGAACCCTTGACAGAGGAGTTCAGAAATTTTCAAAGGCTTATAAACCTGGTCAAATTTGAGTGTATTTTTACCAAAATAGGAAAACGTTCTCTTGGTATAAAGGAAAATTTCCCCCACCATATTTCAAATTCTTGATCTAAAGTTTGTGAGTATGAATGCTGTTCAAAAAAAAAGGGGGAATGAAATTTGTCAAGGCACAGATTTTGCTGTCTGTGTTCTCATTCTCAGAACTGGCTGGACCATTCTGATTGAATTAATGAAACAGGTCAAGAGAGAGAACCAAAATGTAAACTTTCAATCCAGTGAGTTAGAGTTTGGCAGAGTTATAAGCAACTGCACACTTAGAACTACCAGCTGTACCTATAATAAATACCTAAAATGGTTGCTAATGTTCTCCTAGTAGCTTAATTTTATTTATAGTTAGTGTATTTCTTTTTAATTTTATAAAGTACTATAAAAGAATAATGTGACTAACCCTTCCTCAGTGGAATTCGTCGTTCCTCTAGTTTAATTTTTCTTTCTTTTTTCCCCAATGTAGGTAAAATAGAGATAACTGGTTGTTTTTCTCTTCCAAGACATAAAACAGGAAGCTCTTTAAAATTATCCATAGAGAAGACCTGTTAACAAAATACATTTTTGTAATTAGATATACTGCTATATCAAATAAATGAAGATTTGTGGTACTAATATACTATTATTCCTCAAAAGTAAAATACTGTATATATGCACTTAATGTTTTGGGAAAAAATTCCCTTCTCCTGATTTTTTGGAGAGTTACTACCCCTTTCTTGCAAAAAATGTGTCTCCAGGCAGTGTCTCTATACACATGGCTGGCTGGCTACTTGTTCCAACTCCATATACCTCTGTGCTTCTGGAATAAATCCCAGCTTTTAGACTAAACAACCCTTCAACTCATCATCTGTTACATCAAGATGCCTTCCTCTGCAGTTTGTAAATGATGAGGGCACCTTATATTTTACTGTATGAACAAGCAAGTAGTTTCACTAAGAAAAAGTTTATATTTTCATATTTAAGTAAATGCAATGCTTGTAAAATATGCTTGACTGCAACTGACTCCCTTTATTTATCAACATGACTGGTACAGTATACACAACATAAATTCATTGTCATGTACACATGTTCAACTCCTGACCCAGAGTTTCCAACCTTAGAGCAAGAGATGGTTTTATTTTGTTCTCACCAATTTTTACTTATTTTTTTATTGAATCTGAAAACAAAAATGCCAGCTTGAACTGACTAAAATACCATGCATTATAAGGTAGGTATTTCATAATTAGAAACTGAGCTAATAAAGAAACTCATCTCATATGCCACAGAAGAGCAATCAGATGATAACATTTTTTCTAACTTTTCATATGAGCCAGATTCATACTGGTGACCTGTACTTAGTTGAAAAGTTTTGGCAATGTGTTACAGAAGCTGAGTTACCCAGTCTCTCAGGCCTAAGATTTTGCAAATCAATCAGTAACTTCTTGAAAAACTGAACCCATAATTTAGCGCACACAGGCAGCATCTACACAAAACGATGACTGCATAGTAGCCCATGACTACTATGTAGTAGCGATGCATGGCACGTATCAAATTCACTGCGCAGTAGACTAATTTAGTGTGTAGTAAGCACCTGCATGTGTAGATGGTAATGCTCTACCATGCAGTCAATTAGTCAACTGCATGGTAAAGCATCTCATGAAGACGCACCTAATAATTACTATTTTGGGCCAGTACCAAATTAACAATTTTTCAAATGAGCTTTTTCAGTACATCCTATGACATCTCCAAAGAAGGTTGCCTATTTACCTGCCAAATTCAGGTGTTGTCAATTTATTTCCCATACTAGGCCTTTAATAAGATGCATTTTTGATCCCTACCATTCTGAACTAGATCATCAGTTGTAGATTAAACATGGAAGATTCCAGCTCTTATAACTAATTCCCATCCAGTCCTTTCAAAGATACTAATTACATTAAAAAATAGAAACACACATAGGCTTGACACAATTAAGAATAACTATTTTCAAGTACAACACTCCAGTAAGACAGATCCATTCGCTAAAGAAATTCTGAAAATTGATTTAAATAGAGCTTCCATCATTAATTAATAGGGTTTTTTTTTTCTATTTGAGACATAAAGAACAAATTATTCAGCAACCTCTCAACATTTATAGGTCATAAAGAGCTTGATTTTAAGGATGTGTATGAAGTGGCACGACAGAGGACCCCTTTCTACAACACTTACACACATAATACCTACTCATGGAAAAAGTCTCATTGATATGATTAAAGGCTGCTATAACAGGCTGTTAATGAAGAACCAGTACAACTTTCCACAGACATAATTTTAGACATTATTGAAAGAAAAATCTGGTATAGTCAGAACAGGCAATAAACAGTATAACATAATTTTTTACGGCTAAAAATCCTTTGCAGTATAGAATAAGACCTGGTTTTAATAATACCATTTGCAATTTACTGATATTATTATATAAATATTATTTGCTACAAATTATTTGGTATGAAAATATCAAGTGGCAAACTGCCCCATTATAACCAAAGTCTGTAATCTATGAGAGAATTGTAACCATTTGACCTTGTTCTACCTCTGTCTCTATTGCTATATACTCTCTGAATCTTATTTTTTCTTTCAGTAAGGAATTTATAATTACCAACAAGCTCTGCCTGGCTATTTACTGCCTATTTCACATCAGTTCAAGTGTGCTGGCTAGTATATCAGGGAATACGGATATATCTCTGCCCATCTCCCACCAATATAGTTGTAGAAAGTGAATGAAGGACATATTATAGACATACAGTACCTACCTATAGCTAGGGACCTACCAATGTACCCCAGGAAGGAATAAGCACTGGGCTGCCACTGAGAGGGGCTGGAGCAAGCTCTGACACCCTTCCCAGTTTAAAAAAACACTGGTGGGAGAAACTATCACTATTTCTGTTTTGCAAAATATTTATTTCTATACACACACACACACACACACAACTGTACCTCTAATAACCTGTCAAGTGACCACTGTGGTTCACTTGGCATACCAAAGCATACTTTGACATTTAAACTATTTTAGTCCAGTTAGGTAGTTTGCACCGCGCACCTATCACTATTCCAGTGCTTTCATTCATTGTTCTCTTCAGAGGGTTTGCCTCCGAAAAGTCTGTGCCAGTCCTCTATCTACCATATAAGGTCAGCCATTTCTTTCCCATCATCCTCTTCTGTCTTCCTGCAGTACCAGTACATTTCACTCAGCCCCATTTGTATACAGTCCTCGACTGTGGGTCCAAGTGTTTATGAGCAGGTTCTTGGCTTTCTACAAGGCATACTTGAAGCAAGAGATGAACTGGTCCAAGCGAGCCATTGGGGCCCCTTGCTATTTGGCCTCATGTCTATAGAAAACCACTTCTCTGGTCAGGGTCCTGAAACCTGCCACCACAGGAGAACACCAAGAAGAGTGCACAGACATTCTACCACAACCCATCTGAATAATACCAATGTATAGTAGTGCCCATTAAGTGCAGTCCCCCTCACCGCTGATTCTTTTTCAAGCCATGGTGAGCCACAATATTGCATACATTTTTATTTATTCTTCATTCCCATAGCTGAGCTGTGCCTTTCTTTCTCATTTCCAATGATTGCTGTTTCTTAAGTAGCCCTACAAACCTAATGAAACAGAGCCCACACAGTTTACCCAGAATCCCTCTGTTGCCTCCTCTCCCAGCCTGATTAGTGTGGTCCTGCCATCCATGAGATGAAGCTGAATCAAGTTGCCCTGTGCTTCATCTGCATATAATTTTTTGGAGGATCCTAGGACTCATGACAAGAACACTTGGTTCCAGTCATGAGTGGTGGCTAATTAGCACACAGATCATTTGAGGTGGGTATCTGGAGTACACACACATACTGAGCTCTGGGGTCACCATGAATGGAAATGCTATTTACTTTGGTGGGACTTGGCCCAATGAATTATATGGCAAATAACGAGCCTTTGTCTTTGGACTAATGTCAAGCATAGCCTGTACTACATAAAGTAAATACCAAAGTGCTGATCAAAAATGTATTTATGGAACCTGTTTGATACCGGGCGTATTAAAACTTGCAGCAGGTTCAAAAAAAAAAGGGTAACATGCATCAATTCTGGATAAACTAAGTGCATGGGCACTATATGCATATTGCTAGAACCATTTTGAATTTCAAAGTTATTGTTTTCAAATTTGCATCTCACTCCCATGTGCTCAAGGAGAGCAGGGTCTGACAGTACGGACAGGGGGGAAGGGGCTGCCAGAGGAATAAAGTGTGGCGGGGGGGGGGAACAGAAAACAAAGGGGTTACCTGATGCACCCTCCTCCTCCTCCCCCCCACTCCGATTTATTTTCCCTGCAGAGGGAAAGGGACTAGGATTCAAGGAAATCCTCCAATAATTAGATTCTATACCTGGAAAATTATAACTGATTTACAAATTTTCCATTTATAGAATCTAATTGCTGGGGGGTCATCTTATATGTAGGGTCATTTTACAGTCTGATGGCTTACAGTCCAATGGCTCAACAACCTTATGATCTAATGGCTGGGGAACTGGCTCCAGGTGGGACCCAGAGAGTGATAGTTGATGAAACTGAGTCAACGTGGTGCATGGTGACCAGTGATGTTCCCCAGGGCTCAGTACTTGTACCAGTACTCTTAAATGTATTCATAAATGATCTGGATTCATAAATGATCTGGATTCAGCTGTGAGAAATAGACTGGCTAAGTTTGCATATGAAATGAAATTATAGGGAAGTGCGGTAACGCTAGAGGGTAGGATGATGATTCAGGCCAACCTGGACAGGCTCGCAAGGTGGGAGGATCAAAACCTGACAGCATTCAGCGCGGATAAATACAAGGTGCTCCACCTCAGGAGAAAAAACCCACATCATACATATAGGCTCGGCAGTGCTACACTCACTAGCACCATGACTAAAAGAGACTTGGGGGTCATGATTGACCATAAGATGAACATGAGCCACCAAAGCGATGTTGCAGCCAGCAAAGCAAATAAAACTCAGGCTTGCATCTACTGATACATCTCAAGCAAGACCCAAGAAGGCATCCTCCCACTTTACTCAGCCTTGATGAGGCTGCAGCTGGAGTACTGCATCCAATTCTGGGCTCCACACTTTAGAAAGGATGTGAAGAAGCTTGAGAGTCCAAAGGAGAGCCATGCACATGATTAGAAGTCAAGACAACAGGCCTTATGAGAGGCATGGGACTCTTCAGCCTGGAGAAGCAAAGGCTCAGGGATGACTTGGTGGCAGCCTATAAGTATGTAAGGGGTCTGCATCAGGAACTAGGAGAAGGTCTGTTCACCAGGGCACCCCAAGGGAAGACACGGTTTAACAGTCACAAACTGCTGGAACACCATTTTAGGCTGGACATAAGGAAAAACGTCTCTACTGTCCGAGTCTCCAGACTCTAGTATAGACTGCCCCCAGAAGTGGTTCAAGCACCTACTGTGGATACCTTTAAGAAATACTTGAATGTTTATCTTGCTGGGGTGATTTGACTTCCTACCCCTTGGGCAGGGGGCTGGACCCAAAGATCTCGCAAGGTCCCTTCCAGCCCTAATGTCTATGAAATCTTCTATTTGAATAAATATGGTATTTTGCTTCTAATTCTAGCCTTTCAAAGTACTAAGGAAATATACCTTTAGTTTAATAAGTATCCTGACCTAAACTTAGATGACTCTCTTAGTTAACAATATATAATAAGCGTGAAACAAATGTTAAAAATACTTGATAAAATATGGCATGTTATTCTTCCTAATTAAAACCATGATTACTTGAACAGAATAGACTTATTTTAAAATTTCAGTGAAAGATTCTCCAAGAAGGAAGAAAATATGGAATAGCCTTAACACTTCCAACAGGGAAAGTGAAGGACACTGTCATTATGTAAAATAGCAAGGTACAGAAATGAAGAAAGAACGCCTGCTGACAGGCACTGAATTTGAAGATGCGTATGTATTGAATCACTTAATGGCTCTAGAAATTCTAAGTAGTAAGCAGCTTTTCGCTTGAGTGCAATGTATACAAAAGTCCTTAGAGGCTGCAAGGCAAACTAGACCACCAGAAGATATACTTGAAATCAATGACTGTTACATTTTATTCCAAGCCTGAAATGGGTCCTGCGAGTTTACTCTTGGGAGTCAAGAGCTGGCAGTTTGTATTGGTTACTTGGATTTGCTAATATAACTGGCAAAATGCAAAAAGAGTCTCTTCAATACTATATTTAGGGTTGGAATCATATTACCTTATATCCAAGTTCACCAAAGTAACTATATTCTTAAGACCTTGTCAAAGATTAGCTTTGCCTTCTTTGTATGACAACAGCTAACAAACAGTAAGTTTGCTAATTAGTAAAAGTTGTCTTGGTAGTATTTTCCTCTGCATTCAGAAAAGTGTACTGAAGCACCACATGAAATTACAGGGATGTGGGATAAATAACAAATCTCACCCAGAACAACTTTTTAATCCTTTTCTCCCATATGCTAGGCCTGTGAACAGCTTCAAACAGCTGTTATTATTATAAATCAATTTACTATAGAAATACTTCTTCCTTCCTTTTAATTGCATCCCAGTTCACAGAGTATAAGAATTCACAGGATAAGATTCATTTCATACTCTGATTAAGCTTAAGTCTGTTTTTATTTTTTTTACCTAATCAGAATTTCTGTAATCAGCACTGGAGGTAGCCATGTTACTAAAAAATGTTATCATCTTGAATAATTATATGCAGGGTGTTCAGGTCTTTAATCTCCTATAAATTAATGGCTTAAATCAGGAGAAGAATTTGAATTTTTAAATAATATATATAAATATGTTTGTTTGAAGGGGAATGAAGAAAATTTAGAAATACTTACAGTGGTTGCCAATTTCAAAAGCAATACTACTTTTTAAAAAAAAGCTTACTTCCAGCATAATTAAGAATGACATTCTTGAAAATTATCTGAGAGGGAGAATATTTTACAGTTCATACCTAGCAAAAAGTGCTTTCCTTCTTTGTAAAAATACAGATTTAGGAAATGGATGCAATTTTCCTATCCCTTTCTCTAATTCTTAAAAATGCTTAATAACACCATAATCAACAATTGGTATAAGTTAAATTTAGTTTAATTTTGTTGCAATCTTTAAAGAGAAAGAAACAGCTAACTCTGTATATAGACGCTAAGCCAGTCTCACCTGTTAAACCACTCAGCTTTTTTAAGATTCTTAAGACAGTGCTTTTAGCAAACTTCTGTAAATCAACATTTATAGGTTCATAAGCATAACCAAAAAGCATTGCAACAGAAGTAAAAACTCCAATGGCCAATTTTAGCTTCAATTTAAGAGAAAGCAGCTCCACTGGTATCAATAGAATTGTACTTGCTTACAGAAGGGTTGAATTTGGCCTCAAGAGTTTATGACTCATCAACATTTATGGAACAATCACCAGCTCTGGGTATTTGAAATTCATTACACTTTGTGATTGCAGTCACATTCTGTTATGGAGGTTTCCTCTTTGACCTGAGAATGAGTAATATTAAGAAGAAAAATAAGGGAGATGCCATATAACAGAAAATAAGGGGTAAAAGTAGTACACAAAAAACAGTACTTTCACCGACTCATATAACAACAGAATGTCTTAGAGACTCTGTATTTCTAATGAAGTAACTTTAAACCATGCTAGTAATGACATACAGCTGTAAAAAAGGGGTAAAGACCCCTTTAAGTTGGTAAAGTGAAGGAGCACTGGCATCAATGAGAACTAGACCTTCTATGTACAGGGATCATTTCACCCACTGTTGAAATGGATCCATCTCTGGAATGGAATTAGAGCAGCCACTCTATCCCAGCAATTCAAACACTACAATGGATTTCTGAAGGGGACGGAAAGAATAATCTCTCTAGCTGAAAATATCAAATCTTTGGAAATGTTAAACAGAATGTAATTACCCAAGCAGAAACCTAGCTAGCATACCGGGACAATAACACCCTCCCTTTGCAAAAATTATCACGGTATCTTTAATGATCACAAACTGCTGAAGCTTTTGTAAGTCTTATCCAAAAAACAACACTTTCAGCACCACCGTCCCTTCAGTAGTCCAAAATTACACTTCTCCAGAGTTCAGAACTTTATTTATGGCATTTCTATAGAGATTTGCCACATTCATTCTAGATTACTGCTAAAATGACCACTAGATTGAAGGATCAGTGACAGTTTTAAAGTCCAATAATTCACATACTGTCAGAGCTAGAAATTAATGTTGTATATCACAGGAAAGTTTTCTATTGTTATATATGACATGTTTCTAGACCTAGCAGCTCCTTGACTACTGGAACCTGAAATGTCATTTTTCTAGCTATTAGTTTGGTTCTCCTTCCCTCCTCCCTTATTGAAATAACAATTATTCTAAACTAGGCCAGGAACTAAAATTGGAGCCATGTACCCCTAAAAACCTTCGAACCATTATTCAAAAGTTATAGCCCAAGCCACTGACAAATCTATGGCCAAACTCCCAAGTTCTCCCATGAAGAGAGAAAGATCACACCAATAGTGCATTAGACCAGGGCTGTCCAACTTCAGAGTAGCCAGGCTCACAGACAGCTGTGCCGGCAGTGTGTCCACTCCCAAGTCCTCCCCTGCTGCCAGGGCCCCCAGACCTTTTGATAAATACTTGGGCGATTAGATGGACAACCCCATATTAATCTATTATTCTAGAATTTTACCAAGTACTATCCATTAAAAGCATGTCAAAATAAGCATAAGTGCAGAAAACACTGAACCCACAATGAGAATGATCTATTATTAAAGGCCAAATGTTTAAAAAATTACCATGGATGAAAATATTATGTGATCTTTTTTTCCAATTCTTCTAGATCAGTGAACAGAAAGAAAATGTTTAGATCCATGGCCTTTACTGGAAAGACAGATGACAAAAGAGATCACATTTAAGACTGCAAAATTAGTCACTAGTGTAGCTCTATTGTGTCAGGTCCAAGATAAAAGACGCACAAAAAGTCAAAATCAGGGAAGGCAAT